TCTGACTGTCTGAGAGACTGGTCTGACTGTCTGAGAGACTAATCTGACTGGCTGAGAGACTAGTCTGACTGTCTGAGAGACTAGTCTGACTGTCTGAGAGACTAGTCTGACTGTCTGAGAGACTAGTCTGACTGTCTGAGAGACTAGTCTGACTGTCTGAGAGACTGGTCTGACTGTCTGAGAGACTAGTCCGACTGGCTGAGAAATTAGTCTGACTGTCTGAGAGACTAGTCTGACTGTCTGAGAGACTAATCTGACTGTCTGAGAGACTAGTCTGACTGTCTGAGAGACTAGTCTGACTGTCTGAGAGACTAGTCTGACTGTCTGAGAGACTAGTCTCACTGGCTGAGAGACTAGTCTGACTGAGAGACTAGTCTGACTGTCTGAGAGACTAGTCTGACTGTCTGAGAGACTAGTCTGTCTGTCTGAGAGACTAGTCTGACTGTCTGAGAAACTAGTCTGACTGTCTGAGAGACTAGTATGAATGGCTGAGAGACTAGTCTGACTGGCTGGAAGACTAGTCTAACTGGCTGAGAGACTAGTCTGACTGGCTGAGAGACTAGTCTGACTGGCTGAAAGACTCACCTGTCTGAGAGACTAGTCTGACTGTCTGAGAAACTAGTCTGACTGGCTAAGAGACTAGTCTGACTGTCTGAGAGACTAGTCTGACTGTCTGAGAGACTAGTCTGACTATCTGAGAGACTGGTCTGACTGTCTGAGAGACTAATCTGACTGTCTGAGAGACTAGTCTCACTGTCTGAGAGACTAGTCTGACTGTCTGAGAGACTAGTCTGACTGGCTGAGAGACTAGTCTGACTGTCTGAGAGACTAGTCTGACTGTCTGAGAGACTAGGCTGACTGTCTGAGAGACTGGTCTGACTGTCTGAGAGACTAGTCTGACTGGCTGAGAAATTAGTCTGACTGTCTGAGAGACTAGTCTGACTGTCTGAGAGACTAGGCTGACTGTCTGAGAGACTAGTCTCACTGGCTGAGAGACTAGTCTGACTGAGAGACTAGTCTGACTGTCTGAGAGACTAGTCTGACTGTCTGAGAGACTAGTCTGTCTGTCTGAGAGACTAGTCTGACTGTCTGAGAAACTAGTCTGACTGTCTGAGAGACTAGTATGAATGGCTGAGAGACTAGTCTGACTGGCTGGAAGACTAGTCTAACTGGCTGAGAGACTAGTCTGACTGGCTGAGAGACTAGTCTGACTGGCTGAAAGACTCACCTGTCTGAGAGACTAGTCTGACTGTCTGTGAAACTAGTCTGACTGGCTAAGAAACTAGTCTGACTGTCTGAGAGACTAGTCTGACTGTCTGAGAAACTAGTCTGACTGTCTGAGAGACTAGTCTGACTAACTGAGAGACTAGTCTGACTGGCTGAGAGACTAGTCTGACTGGCTGAGAGACTAGCCTGACTGTCTGAGAGACTAGTCTGACTGTCTGAGAGACTAGTCTGACTGGCTGAGAGACTAGTCTGACTGACTGAGAGACTAGTCTGACTGTCTGAGAGACTATTCTGACTGTCTGAGAGACTAGTCTGACTGGCTGAAAAATTCGTCTCTCTGAGAGACTAATCTGACTGTCTGAGAGACTAGTCTGACTGTCTGAGAGACTAGTCTGACTGACTGAGAGACTAGTCTGACTGTCTGAGAGACTATTCTGACTGGCTGAGAGACTAGTCTGACTGGCTGAGAGACTAGCCTGACTGTCTGTGAGACTAGTCTGACTGGCTGAGAGACTAGTCTGACTGGCTGAGAGACTAGCCTGACTGTCTGAGAGACTAGTCTGACTGTCTGAGAGACTAGTCTGACTGGCTGAGAGACTGGTCTGACCGGCTGAGAGACTAGTCTGACTGTCTGAGAGACTTGTCTGTCTGAGAGACTAGTCTGACTGGCTGAAGGATTCGTCTGACTGGTTGAGAGACTAGTCTGACTGGCTGAAAGACTCGTCTGACTGGCTGAAAGACTCGTCTGACTGGCTGAAAGACTCGTTTGACTGGCTGAAAGACTCGTCTGACTGGCTGAAAGACTCGTTTGACTGGTTGAGAGACTCATCTGACTGGCTGAAAGACTCGTCTGACTGGCTGAAAGACTCGTTTGACTGGGTATTACATTTCTGACGTAATCAGATTATTTTTGCTACGCAATCGGGATTACTTTTGCGTCCTGTGGAGCTCAGGGTTTGTGAGCTTTCAAGAGCTTTAACGCAAGACTTGCTTAATCTGCGTCTTACTGTATAGTAAAGACTCTCTCTCTCTCTCTCTCTCTCTCTCTCTCTCTCTCTCTCTCTCTCTCTCTCTCTCTCTCTCTCTCTCTCTCTCTCTCTCTCTCTCTCTCTCTCTCTCTCTCTCTCTCCGTCTTTCTCTCTCTCTCCCTCTCTCTCTCTCTCTCGCTCTCTCTCTTTTTTTACACAGGGTTTGATAAGGTTAAGGATCCTTAGCTTTATTGACAAGCTATTTACAGGTTAAGGATTCCTAACTTTATTGGCAAGCTAAGAGCTGTTACCTACATCAGCTCATTTGAAAGCATTTTTATTGTTATGAGACATACAAGTAGGGAACAGGATGAAGTTGGAGCTATCTGTGGGCCAGCATTTTCATTTGATCAACTGACTTTATCTCGTTGACATCATTATGCTGTACGAATGTGTTCCATACTCGAGTCATCCTGGGGATAAATGATCTCTCTCTCTCTCTCTCTCTCTCTCTCTCTCTCTCTCTCTCTCTCTCTCTCTCTCTCTCTCTCTCTCTCTCTCTCTCTCTCTCTCTCTCTCTCTCTCTCTCTCTCTGTTACATCGGAAATGTAACCGACTTCTTGAAGAAAATTACCTCCCTTGGGATCACTTAGAAGGGAGAACTGACGTACCCTCCCTCACACTACCAGTAGGGAGCAGATGTACACCCTCCCTCACACTACCAGGAGGGAGCAAATGTACACCCTCCCTCACACTACCAGGAGGGAGCAGATGTACACCCTCTCTCACACTACCAGGAGGGAGCAGATGTACACCCTCTCTCACACTAGCAGGAGAGAGCAGGTGTATACCCTCCCTCACACTAGCAGGAGGGAGCAGATGTACACCCTCCCTCACACTACCAGGAGGGAGCAGATGTACACCCTCCCTCACACTACCAGGAGGGAGCAGATGTACACCCTCCCTCACTCTACCAAGAGGGAGCAGATGTACACCCTCTCTCACACTAGCAGGAGGGAGCAGGTGTATACCCTCCCTCACACTAGCAGGAGGGAGCAGATGTACACCCTCCCTCACACTACCAGGAGGGAGCAGATGTACACCCTACCTCACACTACCAGGAGGGAGCAAATGTACACCCTCCCTCACACTACCAGGAGGGAGCAGATGTACACCCTCTCTCACACTACCAGGAGGGAGCAGATGTACACCCTCTCTCACACTAGCAGGAGGGAGCAGGTGTATACCCTCCCTCACACTAGCAGAAGGGAGCAGATGTACACCCTCTCTCACACTACCAGGAGGGAGCAGATGTACACCCTCCCTCACACTACCAGGAGGGAGCAGATGTACACCCTCCCTCACTCTACCAGGAGGGAGCAGATGTACACCCTCTCTCACACTAGCAGGAGGGAGCAGATGTACACCCTCCCTCACACTAGCAGAAGGGAGCAGACGTACACCCTCCCTCACACTAGTAGGAGGGAGCAGATGTACACCCTCCCTCACATTAGCAGGAGGGAGTAGATGTGCACCCTCCCTCACACTAGCAGAAGGGAGCAGGTGTACACCCTCCCTCACACTAGCAGGAGGGAGCAGGTGTACACCCTCCCTCATACTAGCAGGAGGGAGCAGGTGTACACCCTCCCTCACACTACCGGGAGGAAGCAGGTGTACACCCTCCCTCACACTACCGGGAGGGAGCAGGTGTACACCCTCCCTCACACTAGCAGGAGGGAGAGGGTGAGTACCAGGTTGAGACTACTCAAGGACCTGGCCAGGCTGCAGGTCGGGTCTAAGGAGTAACGAGTGATATTTAACCCCAACAAGTGTAAAGCTAAAAAGATTAGGGATGGGACAAGAAGACCGCAGACGGAGTACGGGCTCGAAAGGTGAGGTAAAGGCTGCAAACCTCACTCAGTGAGAAGGATCCCGGGGTGACTATTATACCCAGAATATCACCTGAGGCGCACATCAACTAAATAATTGCTACAGTAATTATTTGGCAAACGTAAGACTTACTTTCAGAAATCTAAATAAGGAGTCATTCACAACACTGTACACCGTGTATGTCAGTGCCCATACTGGAGTACGCAGCACCAGTATGGAACCCACACCTTGTCAAACTTGCTAAGGTTTTCAACGAGACTGGTAGTGGAGCTGAAGAATATGTCCCATGAACAGAGATTGTGTACAACTTGGTGTCACTAGAGGAAAGAAGAACTATGGGTGATAAGATAATAGCATACAAAATACTGAGAGGAATTCATAGGGTGGACAGGAACAGGTTATTTGAGAGACGGGACACTGATACATGAGGACACAGCTGGTAGGTGTGTCCTCATGTTAGGAAGTATTTCTTCAGAGTTGTCAGGAAGTGGAATAGTCTTGAGAGTGATGTAGTGGAGGCAGGATACATACATAGCTCTAAGAAAAGGTATGATAAAGCTCATGGAGCAGGAAGAGTGACCTAGTAGCGGCCAGTGAAGAGGCGGGGCCAGGAGCTGTGAATCGACCCCTGCTACCACAACTGGGTGAGTACACACACACACACACACACACACACACACCTTGATGGTCATAATGCAGAAGAAGATTGTGTTTAATCGCCAGGAAAGGAAACACTTCAACTCTGTAAAAGTTTGTTCCAGAAATGGTGTTCGAATGTGACTGTTTAATATTCTCTCTCTCTCTCTCTCTCTCTCTCTCTCTCTCTCTCTCTCTCTCTCTCTCTCTCTCTCTCTCTCTCTCTCTCTCTCTCTCTCTCTCTCTCTCTCTCTCATGATAATTATTCTTTCTTTACAGAATGCGGGTCAGCCAGCAATTCCTGCAGTCTTGTCACCTTTAAGACTCGATCGTCGAGGCTCTAGATACACCTGTTACTCCTTGCAAGGTAATACAAAACTCTCTCTCTCTCTCTCTCTCTCTCTCTCTCTCTCTCTCTCTCTCTCTCTCTCTCTCTCTCTCTCTCTCTCTCTCTCTCTCTCTCTCTCTCTCTCTCTCTCTCTCTTTTTTTTTTTTTTACACAGGGTTTGATAAGGTTAAGGATCCCTAGCTTTATTGACAAGCTATTTACAGGTTAAGGATTCCTAACTTTATTGACAAGCTAAGAGCTGTTACATACATCAGCTCATTTGAAAGCATTTTTGTTATGAGACATACAAGTAGGGAACAGGATGAAGTTGGAGCTATCTGTGGGCCAGCATTTTCATTTGATCAACTTACTATCTCGTTGACATCATTATGCTGTACGAATGTGTTCCATACTCGAGTCATCCTGGGTATATATGATCTCAGATGGAGTGATGTTCTGGAGAAGGGTACAGCCAGAGTGAAGTTGCTGCTTTCTGCCCGTCTTGTGGCATAAAAGCTTGTTTCACGCTGTCCTCGAAGTGGATCCAAGTGTGGTATTTTGACAATATTAGCCTTGTACATAACAGTAAGGCCACCCACATCCCTCCTGTGTTGAAGGCTCTGCTGAAATGACAGATCAATGCAGGATGGGTCCAGGCGAGAGATAAGACGTCTTGCTCTGTTCTCTACTTTGTCAAGCAGTCGCAAATGAGAGGGGGGGGGGGCAAGCAAACAAAGAAAGGGAGCATACTCAAGGTCTGAGCGCACTTGTGCCTCGTACAGGATCTTGCAACCCCTACTGTCAAGCAGATGGGAGATACGGCGAAGTGCTGTAAGCTTCCTGGCTGCCTTGTTTGCAAGATTTACAACATGGTTCTTCATGGTCAGTTTGGAGTCAAATTTCACCCCAAGGATATCAACTTCTTCTCCAGGTGCCATCACCCTCTCATTCATCCTTACTACTGCACCAGCATTACCATCATGGTGCCTAGAGACGATCATCATTTGCGTTTTCTTATGTGAAAATGTTACTTGCCATCTATTTCCCCAAGCTGATATAGCTCTCAGCTGGTGATAGATGTAGCTTAGAGCAGCTGGTATTTCTTCTCTTGGATAAGTGAATGTCAGTGTACAGTCGTCTGCATATGGATGGGATTCTGGGATGAGATGAAGAAGGTCGTTGAAGTAGACATTCCATAACAATGGTCCCAGCACGCTTCCTTGTGGAACACTTGCCCCAATAGGATGTCTTGCTGATTCCGTTCCATTGAGAACTATCCTTAGAGATCTACCATGAAGGTAATCACTGAGGAAACATAGTGTAGAGCCTGCAATTCCCAGTGCTTGAAGTTTTGCTAAGAGGCCCTGGTGTCACACCCAGTCGAAAGCACCAGCAATGTCCAGTGCTACCACACAGCTGACTTTGGATTCATCCAGTGACTGGTGCCACTTAGTGGAGAGGTTTAACAACAGATCAGCAGCAGAGTAACCTTTCCTGAAGCCATATTGACGATCACAAAGTAGTGAGTGGTAGTCAAAAAACTCTGTCATTTGTCTTGAGATTATTGTCTCAAGGATCTTACCAGTGATTGACAGGAGTGACACTGGTCTGTAATTGCTGATTTCTGCTCTGCTATTCTTTTTGTGAACAGGGACTACATTTGCCTCTTTCCACAGAGAGGGCCATTTACACTGTACTAGGCAGTGCTGAAAGATGCGAGTTAGAGGTGCTGCTAGCTGATCTGCACATCTTCTCAGCAATCTTGGGCTCAACTTGTCTGGGCTCACAGCCTTTTCTTGGTCAAGTGATTTAAGAAGGAAATGCACGTCTCTCTCTCTCTCTCTCTCTCTCTCTCTCTCTCTCTCTCTCTCTCTCTCTCTCTCTCTCTCTCTCTCTCTCTCTCTCTCTCTCTCTCTCTCTCTAAGGTGTCACTATGTTAGGAGACAATAAGGTGGTTCCTGTGTTACTCCCTGTGTTTTATCAGGGGTTCAGGATTTACACTCAGACATTATAATGTTATGTGTCGCATGTGTCACGTGTCACGTATGTTATGTGCCGCATGTGTCACGTGTGTCGTGTGTCACGTATGTTATGTGTCGCATGTGTCACGTGTGTCGTGTGTCACGTATGTTATGTGTCGCATGTATCACGTGTGTAATGTGTCACGTATGTTATGTGTCACGTATGTTATGTGTCGCATGTATCACGTGTGTAATGTGTCACGGATGTTATGTGTCACGTATGTTATGTGTCGCATGTATCACGTGTGTCATGTGTCACGTATGTTATGTGTCACGTATGTTATGTGTCACGTATGTTATGTGTCGCATGTGTCACGTATGTTATGTGTCGCATGTATCACGTGTGTCATGTGTCACGTATGTTATGTGTCACGTATGTTATGTGTCACGTATGTTATGTGTCGCATGTATCACGTGTGTCATGTGTCACGTATGTTATGTGTCACGTATGTTATGTGTCACGTATGTTATGTGTCGCATGTGTCACGTGTGTTATGTGTCGCATGTGTCACGTGTGTTATGTGTCGCATGTGTCACGTGTGTTATGTGTCGCATGTGTCACGTATGTTATGTGTCGCATGTGTCACGTGTGTTATGTGTCGCATGTGTCACGTATGTTATGTGTCGCATGTGTCACGTGTGTTATGTGTCGCATGTGTCACGTGTGTTATGTGTCGCATGTGTCACGTATGTTATGTGTCGCATGTGTCACGTGTGTTATGTGTCGCATGTGTCACGTGTGTTATGTGTCGCATGTTGTCAGTATGTTATGTGTCGCTGTGTCACGTGTGTTATGTGTCGCTGTGTCACGTGTGTTATGTGTCGCATGTGTCACGTGTGTTATGTGTCGCATGTGTCACGTGTGTTATGTGTCGCATGTGTCACGTGTGTTATGTGTCGCATGTGTCACGTGTGTTATGTGTCGCATGTGTCACATGTGTCACCAGGTATTGCAGCTCATGAGTCTGGGCAGAATGCATGGCCATGTCATTTATTGTTTTTTTTTATGTCTTGTGCTGTTAGGATAATATCAGAAATTTTTGAATTAGCCAGATTTTGAGTCTCGGTCATAAAAAAAAATTCATTTAGATTGTCGACTCTTAGTTTGATTAACGACTCATTAAACGCTGAGTCATACTGGGACTTAAGAGAGAGAAGAGAGGAGAGAGAGAGAGAGAGAGAGAGAGAGAGACCCCTACTAACAACCATAGTGCTAGTTCATAGGTAGTAGAAATCCCTGTATGTTGTGTTAGTTACTTTCTCTCTCTCTCTCTCTCTCTCTCTCTCTCTCTCCTCTCTCTTCCCCCTCTTCCCCTCCTCTCTCTCTCTCTCTCTCTCTCTCTCGCTCTCATCCCTCTCTTCTCCCTCTCTCTCTTCCTCTCTCTTATTCCTCTTTCCCTTCACTCTCTCATCCCTCTCTTCTCATATACCTGCACACTCTTACCTGAAGTGTTAAATTATCATAACGGCACTTGTAGTGCCATGAATGTTGACACCTCTCTCACTCTCACTCTCTCACTCTCACTCTCTCACTCTCTAACTCTCACTCTCTCACTCTCACTATCACTCATTCCCACACTCTCCCACACTCACACATTGCCTCCCACACTGACACACAGACACACATACACACACACATACACACACACACACACACACACACACACACACACACACTTGTGTGTGTGTGTGTGTGTGTGTCAGTATTACTAAGGCTGGCTCCTCCTCAGGAAAATTAATGCATAGAAAAAGAATAAAACAGACAAACATAAACACTTTATTATTTAGAAAATATAAAATATAAAACACTTAAATATGAAATATTGACCCTACATTAAAGAAAATGAAAAATGAAAAATATAAATGATATCTTCTGAATGCAACGCTGATATATATAAAACTTGGGTGTCTGGTGTTGGTGACAACCCACCGGCTCGTTCTTCACAGACTATAGCCGTAAATAATCTGTCCAGATGACAGGAAAGCAGGTTCTTTACCGCTGCAATGATGAGGGGTTACGTCCTGCAACTTCACACAGGTGCACAGGTAAGTAGATAAAACATGGGACGTCTCAGGACGTTAGTCCGTCTCCTTCAATTCTACTCGTTGGTTGGCAGGTGACCCATTCTGTCATCCAAGCTGGAAAGAGACAGGTTACCCACTGCTTAAGAAATCACTCTCCATGATAAGTACAATACCTAAAAGACGTGGTGATTATTAAGACATTTAACAGAGCAAGACTGAAAAGACTAAGTTTATTATTGGTCAAAAGTGAAGCTTTCAACCAATAAGTCCACTAGAATATGAGCAGGCATGTACTTACAGTAGAGCTGGGAGCTGTGAGTCGAGTGATTAATGTTTGGCCGGAACCCCACACGTCACCTTTCGGGGGGGGGAGAGGGGGGGAAGGGATAGAGGGAGCTGGACTTACCCTACCTTAACAAGTAGCCGGCAATGAAACTATTGTTACTATATACTCCCTCGCTACTCCTATCTATTGAACTTTTCCCTCAAACACACACACACACACACACACACATCTATCGAAACAGGGAGATTGCCTGAGGCATGGAAGACAGCAAATGTAGTCCCAATCTTTAAAAAAGGAGACAGACATGAAGCATTAAACTACAGACCAGTGTCACTGACATGTATAATATGCAAAATCATGGAGAAGATTATCAGGAGAAGAGTGGTGGAACACCTAGAAAGGAACGATCTCATCAACAGCAGCCAACATGGTTTCAGGGACGGGAAATCCTGTGTCACAAACCTACTGGAGTTCTATGACATGGTGACAGCAGTAAGACAAGAGAGAGAGGGTGGGTGGATTGCATTTTCTTGGACTGTAAGAAGGCGTTTGACACAGTTCCACACAAGAGATTGGTGCAAAAAACTGGAGGACCAGCAGGGATAACAGGGAAGGCAACTACAATGGATCAGGGAATACTTGTCAGGAAGACAGCAGCGAGTCATGGTACGTGGCGAGGTGTCAGAGTGGGCACCTGTGACCAGCGG